GATTCTCGTGTATAACATATATATCTGACGACACCAATGTAAGAGATTCTCGTGTATAACATATATATCTGACGACACCAATGTAAGTGATTCTTGTGCCCGTTCTGAGAACTCCCGGAGAAGGCCGTATCTTCCACTCACAGGACGCGCTCATGCCATGGTAATGTTGCTTCTCGTGTACGTGTCCTGAGTTTGTCACTCTTGAAACCAAAATTTTTGGCAATGCAAAAACAATGACTATGACAATCTTTAATCATCTCGAAGGGAGAAATTTGTCTTGGACGTTTACAATGGCAGTAGATGTTACAAAGGTTAGGTACACTCACGTATACGCACAACAAATGTGCTGAAACACCCGCTGCATAAAACTTGTTGGAATTTGTTGAGAAAAGCATAAAACCACAGATTATACCACTTTTATTCGTATTAAGAATATAATATAGCCCTTTAACAGTTATAAAAACTTAGAATATTAACTTGTTTTATCTCTCTGTTCCAACGTACAAGACGTTTAGAAGTGATTGGTTGGCGGGTACTCTTATGTGGTTTGCTTCTTCTGTCCTATCAAACATCTATCGTCCTTATCTCTTCTCCTTCTCGTTTTGTGTATGTTACTCTCTTGTAACACATATAATATTCTTCGGCACTTTTATGACTTTATTGTGTTGCAAGTGCTGCAAAACTCTTACTAAAAATATTGTTAAAACCCACAGATTATACCAGTTTAATTCGTATTAAGAATTGTAGCCCTCTGACAGTTATGACAACTGATTTATCTCGCTGTTCCAACGTCACAGACGTTTGCAACAACCCTTTTCCCGGACGTTTCCAATGCAAGGACCCGGCGTTGGAGATCGTTGTTACGCCATTTCCGGGCAGATGTGGCCCACAAATTATATCAGGCTGTTCAGCGATGGAAATATATTTAGGTTTCTGTTCCCGGCAAACAGTTATTCCAGTGGGCGTCCTCGCAAACCGCATTGCGTCTCTTATTATGATGTATTCATACTGGAAAACGTTACGTGTGTGTGTGTGTGTGTGTGGCTTTCTCTGTGTGTGTGTGTGTGTGTGTGTGTGTGTGTGTGTGTGTGTGTGTGTGTGTGCGTGTAATATCTGTGGGTCTATGTGGGGAGAGGTAATTGTCAGCGCTACTGGTAAGACACTTGGTTGGCATGTGTATAGACGACCCGGGTTCCATTTCTTGCAAGGGCGAAACAGAGCTTAAAATATTATTTTTGTTGAAGTCTGGCGCTTCAGAGGATCTGGGCTTAGGTTAATGTTGATTTTTTTCTTTCTGACTAACCAGAATCAATGGCGTCAGTGGTTAGGTTACCGGACTTGTAATCGTGAGATCGGGGGTTCGAGACTCGGCTCGGTCCGTTGCGTGGTGTCCTTGAGAAAGGCACTTTACACGAATTGTTTTATATGCCTTGCTCGTATCGGAAATGGATGTTAAATTCGGAGGCCCAGCCTTTGTAACCGTACAGTGTTGCCCGAGTCGTTAAACCTCAATCATTTGGCATACATTTCAAGCGGAGCTCTTGCTCCCACATCAAGGTGGACTAGAGTTTTCAAAGCTCTTCACTGTACCTTGAGAAGAACTGAAAGAAAAGCGTACCTGTGTTCGACCCGTTGGGTCCGTCCCGTCGGATAGGGTAAAGCAAAAGACATGTCAACGTATACTTAAGTACCTATACACTTAGATACTACAAATATTCAAAGATAATGAACTGGGCCTCACTTGTAGTAGAAAAAGAAATAAAAAATAACAAGAAAGAAAGAAACAAACAAACCATTTCCTTCTCGACTCGTAACCCTTGGGATTTAAAAGATGACCTATGTCTCCTTGACAATGTTATCACATACTTAAAGAGCAATGTCAAACGACGTTTATCGCGTTTCAAACATAATTTAGCGGACTCTCGTGGCCTAGAGATAAAGGTGTTGGCCTCTCATTCAAAGGTCCCTGGTTCGAATCCGGGTAGCGACCGAAACATTTTCTTCTCTAAAATTGTCTCCTTTCACCTCCATTCCTGCCCTCTAGCAATGTTCTGTCGTCTGCTTTCGTCTCCTCTTTCTGCCCCCACCCCTTCACCTCCATTGCCCCCTCCTCTTGGCTGCTGACTAGTACTCTTTGTGCAGCCTATCTACTGCTACTCCTTGGCTCCTTCTTACTTCTGTCTTTCAGCCACACTCCTGATCTTCTGATAGGAAGATCTACTCCTAGCCTTCTCGGACAAAGGTGAAAAATCTCGGAGGGTCATGTGCAAGTTGCGCACGTTAAAGATCCCTTGGTGGTCTAAAATCGATAAGAGTAGGCTTTGGCCGCCACCATGGGCAAAATCCAAAATGTCCTACCAGCTGAAAAAGTTTCAAGTGTCCCGTGCGCTCATATGACCTTATGCAGTAGCGAGCGAAGTAGAACACTTACCCCCCCC